ACACAGAATCCAAAGCAGGCTCCAGGCTTTACGCTGTCAGCACAGAGCCTAACACGGGGCTTGAACTCATGGACTGTGAGATTCTGACCTGAGCCGAAGTCAGACACTTAACCGACTGAGCCCCCAGGTGCCCTAGTCTGGATCTTCTCAGCAAAAAGCACTGCTTTGTTCAAGAATGACCGAACAGCAGACAGAAGACAGGCATTCCAGAAGGGCAATGCTTAGCAATGCCTCTCTGTTCCAGGTAATGAACAGTCGCACCCTGGAGGGGAGCATGGGAAGGTCACCCACAGCCCCAGTAGAAGCCCCAACTCTCCTAAACTTTGGGGAGCTGCACCATAGGCAACAGCAGCCCGTAATCATGTCACTCCAGGGGAATGAAGGCACGAGGAACCGACCCAAGATTCTGGTCTGGCTGCTGCCTTGGCAATTAGCAAAAAACCATCTGTGTCCCTGACCCAGGGGTTTGGGGTCTTATCTGTAGGTTGCAGGCAGGCTAACTTGATAACCTGCAAGTCGAATAAAAATCTCAGATCTGTCACAGTGTCTCAACAGCATCCAAAAAGACTCCTCCCCGGCCCCCCAATTCCCTGCGGTGCTGAGTTTCTTAGACTTGGCCTGGGCGCGGCCCTGGCGGTTGTGGGAGGAGACAGCCCACATTTCCTGCATCCAACCTTGGACAAGTCAGTAAGTGCCAGGGCCAAAAGGACTATGGCTTCGGCCACAGCACGCGCACCCCTGACCGTGTGGTCTGCAGCCCCTAAATCAGGCCAGATAAGGGAGCCTGGACATGCCGTTGACCTCTGCCACCCGTGGGTGCTACAGGCACGTGCGTGCCTCCTGCCACACGGACGCCCGCCATGGTGCCCCGCTCCCGGAGACTCACCAACTGCACGGGTCTCGTACTCATTGGCCAGCTCCTCGGACTCCCCTGCCGCATTGATGTCATTCTTCACCTTGGCCAGAGTCTTCAGAAGCTTGCTGGCTCCCAGGGCTGCCAGAGTGCAGCCCCTGGTCTTTCAGAGGGGCGGGTAATGTTAGTTAGTTCCTTATCCCTTCAAGTGGTCAAGTCAACATTAACGTCAGACAAGGACAAACTCATGGCAAAAGCAGGAAATGGCAAAATCTGAACGGTTCATGATGATTCAAAGTCAAATTTGCAATATACACAAAACACTGTCGACCCTGAAGGCACTCCCAGTCTTGAATGTGGAATTGGCATCTAAAAAGAAAATATCAAGCTAAATGCCAAGAGAAACTGACGGCCTAAGGCCCAACGGCCCGGCCGCCACACTGCGTGTAGCAGCTGAAAGGGAAGAGGGGACTGAGCATGCGGGAGAGCTGACGATGGGGTTAGTAAGCCTTGCAGAGTTAACATCCATCTTCGTGCTCCAATAACGGAGAACGTCTCTTCTCCGCAATTGAACACAAGCCGTTACGTGCTAAACCACAAGGACAAATCTCAGCAAGCTTCCCAAAGCAGAATTTACACAAGCCCTCCTTCCTATCCCTGATGCCATAAAGGCAGAAATTAATTTTTCAAACTAAACTTAAAAACTGCATCCACTTGGAAAACAATCCCGCACCTGCACACACGGGAGAAGCGAGAGCCTCCTGGGTTGCCCACCCAGCACAGCTACCTTGCAGGAAGGTACCTCCCCTCCCAAACATCCCTCCGTCGCCACGGAAACAGAGGCACAACCATGTTCACCCGATGTAAGACATTCCGTCGTGTTGATGACGTTTCAGATTAGGCGTGTGAGTTTCGAGGTCAGAACGACCACAGCAAAGCATGCATTTGGAGTAAATTTGGCAGGGGGCCCAGACATTTACCTGCTCCCAAATGACCTTGGAAAGTTCCTTCTTGTTCTGAAGAATGGCCCAGATGAAGAGTGCTTGCAGGGGGTGTCGAGTTATAGGAGACACGTCCTGGGAGGAGATAGAACATGTGGTCAGCACACAAATGGGAGATCCCTTTAGTAGATACGCCGGTGTAAGAATGGAAGCAGGTACCGGGAGGCCCCAGGGGAGAACCCCACGTTTGGAGGGCTCTGTATGTTAGTATATGAATCCAGTGTAACAGCACAGAGGTGCGATTTTCATCACGGCGACTCACCGGGTAGGACGATCTGACAGTCTCTTACCTATCATCAAAGACGGAGTATGACTAGACAGAAAAGCACAAAGGGCAGGAGTATGTCTGACAGCAATGTAAAAACTGAACAGCTTCTGACAGCCTGAAGCATTCCTTCCCATCACAGAAATCCGTTTCTTATCTACAAGAGTCGCTCGAACTAAAATCTAACTTTCCCACAGTTTAAGTTCAATTATTATGACATAAAACCACGCTTCTGTCTTTGGAGTGTTATTCAAACTTCCAATTCCTAACACATTCACCAGCTCCTCTCCAGAATTCCGGATCTCTCAATGGAAACTTTTCAGATGGAAAATAACTAACCATCTATAACTTCCCTACGGGTTTAACCAAGATCCAAAATGCTTCAGGCAGGATTACGGATATCGCAGAGGGTTTTAACATAAATAGTGTCAAAAAGAAGCTTTCTTTCTTTTTTTAAATGTTTTTAAGTGTATTTATTTATTTTGAGAGCATGAGTGGGGCAGGGGAAGAGAGAGAGGGAGAGAGAGAGAGAATCCCACGCAGGTTCCAGGCTGCCAGCACAGAACCCGACTCGGGGCTTGAACTCATGAAACCGTGAGATCGCGACCTGAGCAAAACCAAGAGTCAGACATTTAACCGACTGAGCCGCCCAGGCCCCCCAAACAAGCTTTCTGAACACTTCTGATTCCTTCAAACACCTAGCTCATTTAGATTTTTGCAATGCACATGTATATACATACACAATTCATAGAATTATAGGAGATAATGACTTCGTTTGAGTTTCCCCAGAAGCAATCAAGAATTTGAGATGAGTAGTCAATCTGAGAAGTGATCCCAGGGAAACCCATAGGAGAGTGAGGAATAAGATCGGAAAAGAAAGAACGAATGAGAAGGGTGTGTTATCAACAAGTTGTCACTGCAGGTAACTAGAGATTACTACCACTAGGGAGTCCTGGGAGCCAGTGTAGAACACATGACTCAGAATTAGCTCCTCCAGGGGTGCCTTGCGGCTCAGTCGGTTAAGCATCCGACTCTTGATTTCAGCTCGGGTCATGATCTCACAGTACATGAGATTGAGCCCCACACGAGTCTCTGCGCTGACAGCTTGAAGCTTGCTTGGGACTCTCTCTCCCTCTTTCTCTGTCTCTTTGCCCCTCCTGTGCTCCCTCTGTCCCTCTCAAAATAAAAATAAATAAACATTGAAAAAAAAAAAAGAATTAGCTCCTCCAAATGGGGAGGGAGCTGGGATATTTATACACCAACCGCTGGCAGTCACGGGGCCCCAAGCAAACCTATGGCAAAGAGTAGCAGGTGCTGACAGTTGGAAACAGAGCCTGCCTGTGGTCAAGAAGAGAGAGGCCTGAGAGAATTCAGGTGCATCGACAACAGCCTCCCAGATGAAAACCTGGATTATCCCTTTGGAAATAATCACTGCCTCTTCTGTCTACACACGAACACCTGGCAGTCCCTCACATGGGCAATCCATCATGCCCAAGAGGCTGAGACATGAACAGGGGCCATTCACCTTTCCCTCTTCCTTGTTAGACGCCTTCAGACAGTATGTGTGCCACACCAAGCTTTGCAGTTAAGAAAAACCGTGACAGTAATTTGAAACATAGCACAGAGCTTAAAGCAAGATATCAGACGACCCAGCAGGTAGACTCATGATCTTAAGGAAAGGCAGTAGCAAAAATTAACCACGCCAACATGTTAGCTACTTTATGGCGTCAAGGGGAGACGTGGGAGAGGGGGAGGTTGAGATATTTTTCGAAGGAAGACGCAAAAGCGGACAACCGCCCTGGTACATACGTGAAGCTCTATGTCTATCTCGTCCCTGCTATTTCTGTCTTCCTTCCGGAAGCCTCTTCGGAAGTTAGCTACCAGTTTCCAGACAAACGTGAGGAGGGCGTCATTATAGGAATTCTTGGCAATCTGCAGGTTCCGATACACAAGGGTGCTGAAGTGGTTGGAGAAGAGCTCGGTGAGGACGTCGTTGGTGAGAAACTTCCGCAGGTTCAAACCATTCTCCAGGAAGAGGCGGACGAACTTGGGTCTGTCCTTTATGAGAGCCGTAAACATGACCTCTTGAAGGTCAGCAGACTACGGAGAAAGCAGAGCAAGGACTCAGACCCCGAGGCCACTGAGGGAAACACGAAGCGTTTTCTTTCTCAACCACATCACATTTCCAGCCACCAAGTAACAGTACCTTCAACTTGTTTTTAATCCTGTTTGGGGGAATACGTTTTATCTTTTCAGCTCTAATACAACATTGGATTATAGCCCAAACAGACGGGGAAGCGACGAGGTGGAATATTGGGCTTGGATGTGGGTGTGCAGGTGGTTTGGCCTCTTGCTATGGCGGAGTAGAGATGACCGTGTCGGTCAGGAATTTATTGCGGTGCCTGGCACAGCAGAAGTCCTCCGAGGCAGTGTGGTTCACACCGTTTCTCTGAAGTCTACACTAGACATTGATTGTGAGCCAACCACCGGCACCTTGGAACCCTCCCGTTGCCCAGCAAACCACACATGACCAGGCCAATGGCTGTGGGACACTTGACAAGTACACCTGGTCATTATTTACCTTTACCCCCACTCTCTGGGCCCTCTGATAAACCTATCCTATGGGAGCTTAGGGAGACTCTTATTAAAGATAATTCATGTTTACGTCAGACCCAAACCAGTGGATGACAGGCCACTGTAGCATCCGGATATGTTCCGCCTGTCCTCCAGAATAGATCCTACAATGTGATTCTGTTGCCAACGTGACAGTTTAGAAGGCTCTTAAAAACCCACACACTTCCGGGGTGCTTGGGCGGCTGAGTCGGCTGAGCATCTGACTTTGGCTCGGGTCATGATGTCATGGTTTCTGGGCTCAAGCCCCGCATCGGGTGCTGCACTGATAGTGTGGATAGTGTGGAGCCTGCTTGGGATTCTCTCTCTCTCTCCCTCTCTCACTGCCCCTCCTCCACTCCTGCTGTCTGTCTCTCTCTCTCTCTCAAAATAAATAAGTAAATATTAAAAAAAAAAAACATATCCACACATTTCCAGCACTAAAATCCACATTTAGAAGTGAAAACCAGAAAGCCTGACAACACGGAGAACCATCAGCCAGAGCCAAGTGACAGCTGCTCCCGGGGACCTGGAGACTCCAGTCCCCAACGTCCCGGCCACTCCTCATTACTGTTCGCCCAGCCCACTTCCCTCATGATGCTTTTCTGACCCCAGTTTGGGGGAATATCTTCTGCCAAGGGCGGCATTAACCGTTTCTGTTTCTGTCTCATGTTGGGCCTCTGGGGATCACATGTTGCCTGGAGATAGACCTGCCAAGTGGCCCCTGAGTCCCCACGCTGTGGCTCCAGGTGGGATAAGAAGGGGAAGGGAGGCCTGCCCCGGGCCAGCACGAGACAGCTACACCTTCTCCTCTGTCCTCAAGTCACGTGTTCCTTTGCCCAGCACCTCCCATATCCTTCCAATCATTGCCTTTCCCTCGGTCACACGCTTGATAGGACAGGGTCCCCAGACTTCAGTCAGAGTCACCTTCTGAAAACACAGGTGGCTAGAGACCATCTTAGAATGTCTGCTTTAGCAAGTCGACATGGAGCCTGACAAGCTGTGTCGCTAACTACCAAGTCCCCAGGTTATGCCCACGCTGCCACTGGTCCGGGGACCACACTTTGAGAACCGCTGGAATACGAGGAAAGAGAAAAGCTTTGCAGTCAGACACGTCTTTGTTTCCAAATCCTGTCTCTACCATTCCATTACCTAGATGGGTCACCTAGAACAAGGCCGTGTCTCCGAGCCTCAGTTCACTCTTCTGTACAATAGGTGTTTACAGGGATGAAACCAGCTAACACAGGTCAAGATCTTTACAGGGGTGTGTGGGTGGCTCAGTCGGTTAAACGTCCAACTTCAGCTCAGGTCATGATCTCTTGGTTTGTGGGTTCGAGCCCTGCATCAGGCTCTGTGCTGACAGCTCAGAACGTGGGGCCTGTTTCGGATTCTATGTCCTCCTCTCTCTGCCCCTCCCTGGCTCATTCTCTCTCTCTCTTTCTCGGTCTCTCAAAAATAAATAAGCATTGAAAAAAATTTTTAAATGTATATATGTCTTTTCAGAGACTTGAGGGCAGAGCAGGCCCTCCAAAACCCATCAGTAACTCTTGATCCTGTGGTACCCATGGAGGCCTGGATTATTAACCAGCAAAATGAGATCGTCCCTGCGATGGGTTGGTGTGAGGGACAAATAAACAAACACCACGAGACTGCTTTGTGCGCTGTAAAAGGTTACACCAACATTACCATTATGCCAAAGGCTTTTGCTTATTTTTAAACAGATTCTTAGGTAGTGTTTAATACGTGCCACCGTTCTAAGTGCTTCAGAAACATCATCCGATTTAATTGCCGGAAGAATCCAATGAGGTAGACGCTATCATTATCACCTCCGTTGACGGATGAGCGGTGGGTGCTGTGCTGGTAAATGTCTGCCAATCGCATCTCTGCGGGGGAAGTAGGCGCTCATTTGTGGTCGTTTTCAATTCCTGTGGTGTCAATGCTCCCACTGTGCCTGATTTCCAGGCACCAGTGTGATCTCACTGAACACAAAATTGGGAGCAGGGAGAAGAAGCACATCACTGTCTCGAATTTCCAGCATGAAGAGACGGCAGACGTGATCAACCTCCAGAGCACAGATGATAGAAATGCAGTCAAATAATGCTCAAGTGATGAGTCTTGATTATTTATTGCCTTTGGGTTTTTTTTTAAGTTTTTTTTTTTTTAACATTTATTCATTTTTGAGAGACAGAGAGAGGCAGAGCATGAGCGGGGGAGGGGCGGAGAGAGAGAGGGAGACACGGAATCCGAAGCGGGTTCCGGGCTCTGAGCCATCAGCACAGAGCCCGACGCAGGGCTCGAACCCACGAACCCACGAGATCACGACCTGAGCCGAAGTTGGACGCCCAACCGACGGAGCCACCCAGGCGCCCCTTATTGCCTGTTTTTAATTAAAAAACATTTAATTCTGAGTTTATGCAATTTTTAATAATGACTGTACTTAACAAGTGACGCAAATGACACAAAATGTCTAAAACTTTAGCGGTCAGTTCTTCCAAGTCAGCATCAGCTGACGCCAACGCACCACCTGTGGGGAAACTGAGGCACAGAGAGGTCAAGCGATTTGCAGAGTTAAGTCACACAGCTGGGCTGCCTCTAGGGTCCATTCTCATAACCACTATGCCCTTCACCCTTAACTATCTTTAGTGAGTCCATAAAATTGAACGTACCATCCGCTATATGCCTAAGCTTATGTTTATTTGCACCGTCTGACCTTACACCAATAGAACATTTCACACACAGGGATTAGTTTACAAATCACCTAACTAGATCTGCTTATAATTCTACCTTCTCTCAACTTATTAAAGCCTTGCATCATGCAATAGGGCTCATTATGCTGCAAAGACCAAACACAAGTGAATGTGTGCCGAAGGAATGAATAATTTAAAAACCCATAAGCCATTACTTCATTTGCATCACATTATGAAAACTGATAACGTGTTAATATAATATAGATCACGTCTTTGTCTTCGATTATACAACAAGGCCTTAAAAACGTTTTCTGAGCCTGACTGCGCACGATGAACGTTAAGAAATACACAAACCTTCCCCGCCACGCGTACGCGTATACGATTCAGTGAATTCTCACTGCCCACCAACTGATGACTTGGTCAATCCAGAGGAGCCAAAAGCAAAGTAGCACACGGCCTTGCAGACCCAAGGGGGACTTGGGTCTACCAAACAGAGCTCCTAAGGCTGATTTAACTTGAGTAGGCCACCAGAGGACACTGCTAAAAGAAACGCAGTCCTACAACTCTGATCAAATTACCAGTGAGAAGAATCAGTCCACTGGGGGGAAAAAAAAATACCGTTTTTAACAGACATACCACTTCCATATTGGAGGTGCTTGTCTGGCTGGGAGTCCGGAGTCCCTCGCTCCTAAGACATTCACTGCGGGTCTTCAAACAAGCTGTTCTATTTTTCCCATACGCATCTCACCGCTGACAAGTCTCTTACCAGAGACTGGGCTGGGCAGTTGGGACACGGTGCAAAGTGAGTACTGTTTTCTCCATTTTTAGTCGAGCTCCTTCTGATAAACCCCTTCCAATCATCTTGCACATAGTGTCCCCGTACGTCTCCCGGTCTGCGCCTAGGGCGGTGTCTGTCCCACCACACCCAACTGGAGAAGCACATCTCGCATCATGACCGCAGGCTGGAAACTCTGAATGGCGGTAGTGGTTTGATAACTTTCCTACAGTAAGTGCTTCCATTTTTAGTATCTCTCAACAACCATCCTACTAAGTCAACGGGGTTGTCCAAAACCACAGATGAGGGAAGTAAAGGTTGGCACCGAAGTGGAACAGTGCTTTATGAGATTTGGTATTGAAGACCTTGTCTGAATTGGCCCGACCTGACACTGGGATAACCCGGAAGGGCTTCTGTTACCTCCCATCGGCGGTCATTGGTGAAAATCTCATCACTGGCTAGGTCCAGCTGGTTCCATTCCAGAAGAAGCTTCAGCTGCCCATTCCAGTTATCCTTGTCTTGTTCATTGGTGCTAAAGGCTGTAGGAGGACAGGGAAGGAAATCGACACGCCAGAAAAAAGAGAGTCAGAATTGGCCATGCAGCCAATTATCAGAGCCATTTATAAAGGAGATTCTAAAGCATGTTCTCTTAGAATCTGACACTCAGAATTGTCATTTCTTAGCCACATTCTCTATGGTACTCACTCTTGTCCATATTCTGTATGTCCTAAGGTATATAATGAAGATCAGTTCAAATGTTAATATCTTTCCATTTCATATCCTAACAGTGTAACTATGCTATGCTGATGTTTTCCACAGATTCAGACTCCATAAATGTTACATTTCAAGGACCCTGTCTGACTTAAATTATATCTAAATCTATGAAATAATGAGCCATAGTATAACAACGTTCTCATGGTCTTTTCCAGAGCTAATATATTCTGTATCTATGTATCTCTACAAATATAATCCCATGTTAATAAATACACTGAAACAGCCAATTTTCTGGCAAACACAGCAAGAATAATGCTAATAAATGGCTAATGCTTAAATCACACTTCCTAGTGCCTTACCCTACTCTGCATACCTCACATCTCTTACTCAGCTGGCTCAACTCTACATGGTCTTGGCCAACAATTGCTTTACTGTGGGTAATACCACCTTGATGGAATTCTAAGATGGCAAAGATCACGGATGAGAATTTTAAAACAGGTTCATCCGTAAGCTTCAGGAGGTGTGTAAATTCCTGAAACTGGATGCAAATTTTCTCATATGTGTGAAGTGTGTGTGCATCTGAGTACACAGGGAGCCCTAGGACAAAGCCCCACAGCTTTTATCAACTCCTGAGACCCAGATGAAAATTTTAACCCACGGTCGCAGACAGCTCTTTGGAGAGTGCTGGGATCATATTCGACCGGTATTTTAACGACATAAAAATTCTTGTTCTATTAAATACAGTCAACCAAGGAGATTTAACGCAGCAGGCCAATAATAGTCATTCTAGCTTCCGATCTATGATAACCAAACTTAAGTGCAAGATTATATTTCAATAAAGCTGTTTGAAGAAATAAGCACAGGCCATTAGAAGCCGCAGGAAGCAACACAAAGCTGAAACTTGAGACGCTACCTTTACTCACCTTTGTACAAAGCATAGGAAATAGCGTTGCTCACAATTTCATCCCCAGCTTCTTCCATTTTAATAACTGTTAACAGGTGAGAACTTTCGAGAATTTCTTTGAGCTGGCAAGATTTAAAGAGCACTGTCATCAGGCAACTGCTTTCAGACATAAGGAGCACATAAGCTTCTCTCTTTTGGTGAAGACCCTTTTATTCCATTTTTTTTTTAAACACCACATAGAGGGCGTTCCCAATCTCCTTCCCTCCCTTTAGGGCATCTGTACCCGTAGCGTCTAACCTCTGAACTGGAATAATGAGCCCTTAACCACGACGAGAACAGAGCACTGGTTGTACAAGGGCACACATGTGAAAGAGCCCCCAGCAAAGAGCTGAGACTCAAGGGACTAGGGGTGAGTGTGTGTGTGTGTGTGTGTGTGTGTGTGTGTGTGTACACGCACAAGCGTGTGCATGTCACAAAGCCTGGCACGCGGTAGGCACTCAATTGTTGAATGAGGAAATAAATGAGGAAAGAGCGACAGAAGCCACAGAAACCAAGGCGCCTGGGCGGCTCAGTCACTTCAGCATCCAACTCTTGATTTGTGCTCAGGTCATGATCTCACGGTCCATGAGCTGGAGCCCAATGTCGGGCTCTGAGCTGATAGCGTGGAACCTGCTTGGGATTCTCTCTCTCTCTCTGCCCCTCCCCTGCTCGCTCTCTCTCTCTCTCTCTCTCTCTCACACTCTCTCTCTCAAAATAAATAAATAAACCTTAAAAAAAAAGTTTTTTAAGCCACAGAAACCAAGTGCAGTCATAAGGCCTTCACCCACGGGAAGCTAAAGTCCAATGTGCACAACAGCCAAGAAGACTTGGTGACTGGAGAAAGAGATAAGGAATTTGCTGTTATCCTTTGTGATTTTTCTGTCATGTTTTATGTTAAAACCCGATCCCAGGGCTTCAGGCGCTGGGGAGCTTGGCCGGAGCTTAATGAGGCAGAGCTCCCCCAGCGGAGGAAGCCGGTTGGGTTTACTGAGCTCTGGGCTGGGGATGGGGGCCCAGCAACGTCTGGAAATGACGATGTGGCGCACCAGAGTGTCAGGTGGACCGGGGGAGGGGGGTCTCGGGCCAGGTCGGGAGGATGAAAGCTGTGTGGCAGGCAGGGCCTCGGATTTGGACGTTAGGGGGTGACTGTTCAGCCCGCGGTCTCCTGGGAAGGCCGTGCTGGGGGTTCAGAGGCTCAGATCAAGGGGTGACCAGGAAATAAAGGAAAACTGCCTGACACATCCAGGGTGGGCAGCCCGACGGACAGGCTGGGAGGGGGTGGGGTGAAGGGAAGGGCCCTCTCGCCACACAGGCAGTCCTTGCTCAGAAGGAAAGGGTCCAGCTAGAAATCACAGGTGGAAGGGGTCCAGGTCCCACGATTCTGGGGGCACAAGTTGAGGGGGAGACATCTTTTCTTTCAAAAGGAAAAGGAAGAAGGAATACGTGAATATGGATACGGAGCAAACTGACGGGGCCCAGGGACAGCTGCAGGGAATCTTAACTGGGCCCCTCCCCGACACCTCCCTCTTACCTCCTCCCGTCCTGTCCCCCCACTGCAGCCAGTGTGCACTTTCCTGAACACAACCCATCACAATTCGACCTTTCAGGGACTTCCCATTGCACTTGAACAAGGCCCAAAGTTTGAAACGGTGTTCAAGAAGCTGCCTGGCTTGGTCCCTGGTAAACTTTCCAGCTTCCACCCTCGTTGCCATATTATAGGTCCTTGGGGTAGGCCGTGCTTGCCCTGCACCTCAGGACCTTTGCACATGCTGTTCTAGCCGTTCCAATCCCAGTCCTCACCCCGCTAACTACCTAGCCTTCAGATCACAGCTTCCATATCACCTCCTCTGAGAAGCCTTCCCCTTTCATACCAGGCCAGGCTCCCTTGGCGCGTGCCCTTACAAATCCACGTAACCTTTCTTAAGAACACCCATTTCAGTTCAACCTTATACATTGTAATCACTCAACCTAAACTTTTTTCCAATTTCTGTTCTCTCCATGCGGACAAGGGCTCTTCCTGCTGGGTATCCTGTTCTTCCTGAAGTGCCTATTCCAGAACCTGGCATCTGGTATACATTCAATAAATATCAACTGCATAAATGCGTAGATGAGTTTGAAATAAATGAATGAATGGTATCTAGACTGCTTGATAGATTGGGATACTATGGAGAGTCAACTTCTCGAGAAGGTGAGGAGTGGGCACAGGGGGATAACTCTGGTTGAACTGGTAGAAGGAGAAAGCACGATCGTAGCGAAGAGGTGCCCTGGGTCTCCAGGAAAGGTCAGGAAACCATGAGTGCAGATTTGGGGGTTGGCTGTCCACAAGATCAGTGAGGTCACCCCCAAGTAGCCTGGGGTGTTGCTCAACTAATATCTGACTGGATGTATGCATTCATTAATCGATAATTCCACTCTTGACCGTGGTCTTTTGGGAAACCTGTACCAATTGCAAAACTTTATATAAGTGCATAATTAAAATGCCAGACTAATTTTGTATTATTGACGGATGTCTTCTGACATGATTATAACTATGATAGATCATTAGCATATTAGATATGAATACGAATGAGGTATGAATCCCAGACAGGATAAGTGAAATGTGTCTGATTTTTAGCCTGTTTCAGATTTCCAGTAACAGATTTTCTTAAAGCAGAAATCAAAATCCTTTGTCAAGAGTGGGGGACCTGTTAGATGGCCTCTGTTCTTTGGCCATGATGTGGCTCGGACTCCAGAAGAAAAGTTGCATGAGGAGTAGAAGGAAAGTCACTGGAGAGGACCCAGGGCCATCGCTGGTGGGAAGCTAAGAGTTGTCGATTCCTTCCTCTGTGGGTATCCTTGACCCAACCACTGAATTTCTTCCTTCCACCCAGGGAAAGCACCTTGAGTACAGCGCTCAACATACAATGTCGCCGTTGATATGCATACTCTGGGATTGCTCTGCTGAGATGTTTGGAATCAACTCAGACCATTTAGGTTTCAACAGGTGGACAATCAAAAATGTACCACCACTCGGGGAGGGAGGCCTCCTTTTCCTTACCCGTGTATTTGTATGCAGAGCAAGCTCTATCCAAATTAGGCCCTGTGATACTCTCTACCCCTTCACTTACTCCTACTCAGGTTGAGAGAGTGACATATCTGATTGGTGACTTTCGCCTTGCCTGGCCAGCCCTTTCCTGCGTCTCCACTGGGATCTGCTCCTAGCAGAGTGCCCGTGCTCTTGTCTGCCCTCAGCCACACACCTAGCCCAGGAGACACAGAAGCTATCCAGGGCCACCTCCATCTAGGTGGGCTCATCTGGCTCTTTCCGGGGCTCAGCACAAGAAAGCCCGTTATGACTGCACCCCAAGCCACATCTGTCAACCTTGCCTTCATCATCAATGAAGCTGATAAAATTTAACGTCTATCCACCCGATTCTTGTGTCTGTCTCTTAACTGGACTTGGGCCAAGATACAAGAAAATCCCAGCACAAACTTTTATAGAAAACCACCAGCTTTACCTTGTTAAAAAAAATTGGGGAAAAGCAATAATTCAAGTAGGAATATCATACAAGAATTTGTGGGTCAGGATGCCATTCCACACCAACACCGACTCTGGAAGAAGATGCATCTGTGTTTTCAGTTCTGGATTCCAGGTAATAAGGCTTAATACGGAAAGGACTTGCTTCCTGATTATTTCAGCTAAGTGCCCACTCATATGAAATTAAAGAAGACCAGTAGGGTCCCACTGTGTGTTAACTTACCACAGAGTACCAAACAGCCTAGAAGCCTGGGTTTTTTCTCATTATTTACAAGGCTTTGGTTTGTCTAGGCTTACCTTAAATAATGGCAGAGGCTACCATGAACAAGATTATCTGCACTATTCTAGGATTTCAGCTTGCCGTGTTCGGTATTTTGAGATGCTTTCACAACTAACTACTGTTGAAATGCCAATCTAGTTAAGGAATATTTTTTATACTAAATCCAACCTTGAACTCTCATGACAAAATGGGCTCTATGACTAAAATCACCCGCTCATTGCCTATAGCCTGTTTTTTTATCCCTTTATGGATAAATTCCCAAGTGGTAGCCTGTGCTCCTAAAACTATCTAAACATCGAACGCCATTCTGGAATGAGTTGAGGTGAATTCACCCACTAATATTAACGTGAGCTTTCTCATGAACTGAGCGATCAAGAAAATGGAAGCCAATTCCGGTCAACAGCAGTCATGAAACAGACGGAAAAGTGAGGAGGCATGGCATTATGTTAAAATACTTTTATAGGCTTAGTGATAAGAAGTGTAATAGATATTCTGGTAAGTACCTTTCTTACATGATCTGATAAGAAGGGCGAGAGATTCTGAATGGAATCACAGGCCAATTAATTTAGAAAGGCAATCATTTCATAGTAACAACTCCTCCAGTGAATTTCTAAAACATCATTGCCTGGGATTTCTTGCCTCCCCTCCACTGATACACACAAAATTCGGAAGCTAAACATGTGGTGAAGTCAGGGCGTAAAAGGATTACCAGCTTTGCAAACAGACTTGACTTTGAACCCCATATGCTACCCTTACCAGGTACAGAGACTTGGAAGTCATCTAACCTACGCGAGCTTCAATTTCCAGCGAGAAACCTGGTTTGGGCCAGAGTATCACTTCAGTGTCACTGAGAATAGATAAAATAATGCAGCTCTAGCGGAGTCGGGCATGTAAGGCTTCCTCCCTCCCCAAGAACTTAGCTGCCTTCTTCTCGGCACCTGGAAGTCCCCCTAAAGCTCACCCATTTGATCCAACTCTCGGTCTCTTCCTCAGGCAGCCGGGACACCGTGCGGGGTAAGAAGCGCACCAACTTCTCCTTGACCACGGATGACGTCAGCACATCCTCCACCTCCACCAGGCTCGCGATCACGTCCGCAATCTGCCCTGAGCCTTCCACCACCACACAGGGGATTTTACTCTTGATGGAGGTGTTGATGGCCTGGGAGAGGGGAGACAGAGTCGGCCAGAAGAAAGACACACTGATGGCCAACACAACGCACTCGGGACCAAGGTGGTCGACCAGACACCTTGACACATCTCTGCACATTTTCCTCTGTTTTTTTTCTGGTTTTTTTTTTTTTTTTTTTTTTTTGAGAGACAGAGACAGAGCGCAAGGCATGGATGGGTAGAGGGAGAAGGAGACACAGAATCCAAAGCAGGCTCCAGGCTCTGAGCTGGCAGCCCAGAGCCCAACGTGGAGCTACAACCCACAAACTGTGAGACCATGACCTGAGCCAAAGTCGGACGCTTAACTGGCCAAGCCACCCAGGCGCCCCTCCTTTGGGGTTTTATTTCAATCAGAAGCAAACCAAATGTTTGCAACTGTTTATGAATGAGAAATGTGGGCCAGGTGTATTACACCCTGTGCTAATACCAAGTCTCATAATAAGGACACGTGTGACGAGCTTAAGTTCTCCATAATAAGTGCTTTAAAATATCTCTACCTACAAAATTGATCATTTCAACTCCTGACATCATAGGTTTGCATGACAACTTCTAAAACGGTATTCAATATTATCACTGACAGCTTATGTGGCATAGGTTAAAAATATTCATACTCATGAAGTATGAAAATACCTTCAAGCAGCTACATATTTTCTATTATGTTGACACCTATTTCCCTTAGAATTCCCAAATCATTTTCCTTGCCCCTTTTACAAAAAGAGAATAAAATTAAATTTGTTTCTTATATAAATATGCACCACGCTTTTATTTCCACAGAGGCTGGCAGAGGGGAATCGTTCTTCAGAGTCTTAATTCACTTGATGGCAAGATAAAGTGATATATATGCCCAGAAGAAACTTTGAGTCCCCAACCTTTAGGAGACACTGAATGCCTTCATGGAGAACATGTCACCCATGGAGCATGTGGTGCCTCACTGGGGCAGACACCAGGGTGTTCCCAGCTCTGCACCCCACTACCTGCCCTGCGGGCAAGTATCTGCATGCTGGGGCCGGAGTGGGGTGATCAGACAGGGAGCTGTCCCTCCTCTCTCTTGTCCCCTGTTCTGGGCACGGTTACTGGCTGCACAGGTGCTCGGGGAAAATGCCATGGAACTGTAGTGGCCCTCTGGAAATCAGAATTTCAAATCTAAAATTTGAGAGAGAGATAACAAACATAACCATCTTTCAATTACTTTCTCTTCCTCTTCTGCTCTTAAAGAGAGTGCATGTCACCTACTGAGAGTTTCATATTGAAAAAAAATCGTTTATGTTTCCCTGATAAGGCTTTCCCTGAAAAATGTTCATTTACCAATGGTCTCAGTAGCAGATCTTACAGCAGGTGCTCAATAAATACACATGAATGAATGAATGAATGAATGAGAAGGCCATTGTTATATAAACAAAGAGAAGTGCTAGGTTATGATTCCAAACAACTTGGCCAGGAATTACTTGTAACTCCGGGAGGAGGCTCTGGGAGGGAAGTGGAAGATAAAGAATCATAGTATCTACACAGAATAGTTTGGAAAATGAGGGGGCAGGCAAATCAATGTGAAATTAATTAAAAGGAGGAGTTGAAAATCACTTTCTTGTGAAGTCCTACTCCTAAAACTAGGCATCTTCAGCATGACGTGCATGCCTTGAGACACCGACAAAAATGTGGTAACACTGATGCATTCTAAAGTCAAGCAGATACCTGGCTGCTGGCAAAATGCTCTCAGTAACACCAAAGTCTGCACGGATGGGGTGGGAAGCAGAATTCCTGCTTGACTGCTCAACTTGGAAGTGTAGAATTGTTCAGGAAGTTTCTGTGATCTCAGAGTCACTTAGGGTTTGGGGTTCCTTCTTGTGGGTAGAGGCTTTGCAGGCCCAGGAAGCATGTGGATGGGCTTTTGGTGGGTCTGGGAATCCTGATCTGGGGGCAACCTGTGTGTTTATGATCACAGCCCATCTCCACGCACATGGGGTAACCATGGTTTTCCAACATACATGCTGCTTATGATCTGTCTTAGGAGTTAATGTCAACCCTTCTCCTTGGTGGGCTGACAGCCAAAGCCAACATTAGGTATACAGGCTATTCATGTTCTTCCAAAGCCTCTTCTGGAATATTAGAGAAAAATTGTGTGGCTAAGAGAATACTACCTACTTGCTGTAGTAAAAGAAATTGACCACACAAGCCCCAAAGCCCTGAAAATGCAAATTTTCTGGGTTCGCTTGTTGATCAATCTTCTAGAAAACCAAACCAAGACTCACTTTCAAAGTCTCTTTGCCACCTCCTTGGGCAAAACACACAATGGGGATCTTGCCACCGTAGTTGGAATCTGTAAGGCATAAAATGTAAAACGTACTCATTAGAAGCACTCATCTACTTCAAGAAGAGGTAGACCAGGAGCTTCTGCTCCATGAGCCCAGGGTGTGAGGTGATGGCCTCAGACCTCAGACTGTCTACAGGGTATGAGGTGATGGCCTCAGACCTCGGACTGACTACAGGGTGTGAGGTGATGGCCACAGACCTCGGACTGACTACAGGGTGTGAGGTGATGGCCGCAGACCTCAGACTGACTACAGGGTGTGAGGTGATGGCTGCAGATCTCAGACTGACTACCTATCCACTGACCATGACGGATGTGTCTCTGTGCCCAAGCCAGCAACAGCATGACATGGGTCGTATTGCAATTCCTTACTGATATTTAAAAGGCTAACGTCTGTGAATGATTTAGTTTTGCCAGGTTCAAGTGTATCCTTAAAATAATTACACTCTCACTAATCTGCATACTCCTGTGCTTTCTTGAAGGGGTGAAAACTTTACATGACTATGTGTTCTCTCCAGAAAGAGTATTACCAATACAAATGCCTTCCTTCATGTGTGCCCCACTGAAAAAGGAAACAGGTTGAGAACACCTCCAATGCGTCCCTGTTACCGAGTCTATTACTACATCATGACGTACTCTGGTTCCATAACAGGACACATCTCAACACCAGCATCTCAGCAGTGGGAAGACACAGAGAATTTGCCACTCTACGTGGCAAATAAAGGCTTTTGCTCCATTGTTGCATTGTTCCCTTAAAGTCCACTTTCTAAATCCTGACCTTGAATAGTGCGCTCAGAGATGTACTTCTCCAGCTGATTCCGCAGTTTTGCCTCAACCGTAGGATGTCCGTGGCAGCCATTGTCCACGAGTAACAGATGGGTGTGATTGTTGTCCAGGATATATAGAGGGTCTCTCTTGAAGTCATCCATTATGTACTGAGCTGAAAAATATCCCTGAAAAGTACAGAGAAACTTCTCTTTGAGATTTGTGGCCCAAGATGCAGGATAGCATTTGTATATGTCAATATTAAGGCTAACCCTTCAGGTCCAACTATACTGATGTCTCCTCCCAGAGTCCTAAATGCAGAAGGGTCTTGGAGATCTTATGGAACAGGGCTTCGTTTTAAACATGAAGAAATGAGGGTTCAAAATGGCGGGGTCACTTACTCGCTGTCACATAAATGGCCAGTGACCGTGTAAGGATCACATTTCCAATCTAGTTCTTGTTCCATTGACCTGTGCTCATTTGTGTAAACTCATTGAAACTGATAGCATTCCAGGAAGTGTGTGTGTGCTTCTGTGTGTGTGTGTTGGTATCCAGACACACACACAGAAATCTGTGAGTGTATGTATCTATACATGCACACATACATACACTACTTATATTTGTGTGTGGGGGGGATACAGGTAGACATTGATATATACACATACATATTTGTCTGGAATCTATCACATGCCAAGACCTTTGCCAGGGTCTATGGACTAGAAATTGAACAAGATGGAGTCTTTGCTCTTTAGAAGCCCATAGTTACAAGGCCAAAAAACCGAAGCAATTAAAGAGATATTTTGTCCTAACACTTAATTCCATACAATAAACAAGTGCTGGGGTAGCATGAAGAAAGGAATTTCTGACCTTCATGTTCCATTCGAAGGTGTTTGGTTCTCAGAGTATTAGGGTTGCATTAAAAGATGTTCAATCTTGGGGCGCCCGGGTGGCTCAGTCAGTTAAGCGTCCAACTCTTGATTTCAGCTCAGGTCATGATCTCATGGTTGTGAGATGGAAACCCACGTCAAGCTCTGAGCTGGCGTGGAGCCTGCTTAGGATTCTCTCTCCCTCTCCCTCTGCCCCTCCTCTACTCACACACATGCACTCTCGTTCTCTCTCTCTCTTGCTCTCCGTCACTTTGTCTCTTAAAAACAAAAAAAAGTTCAATCTGAACTCCAAGAATATAAGCAAAGTTTATAAGGGATGATTCAATAGGGAGAGGAAGGTTACTGCCTACTAACGCCATATGTATTCAATCAGAACAAAAGAAGAATGAAAACAAAATCCAAATATTACAGTTCTCCTCTGAAAGTAGTCCTGGCCCAGTCAGGAGTTCCAATCAGGAGAGTCCTGGAAATGACAAATGGGATAATATTTGCAAGACAGGGCTCTGGGCACTTGACAGGGGAGCCCTGTAAACTTTCCTGGAACAAATCATTCCTATTCCATTTATATTCTTCCAGAACATAACACTAATTCCAAAAACTCAACAAGGGAAGAATCACACAAGGAAAAGCCAAAGACCACACTGTCTAATGAATAAGGATACCAAACTCCTAACAAAGCATTGGATGATTAAACCCAGTTAAGGTTATTAAAGAAAAATTAGCATTGTTTCTAAGATTAAGTCCATTAGATTATGGCTTCAAGGGGAAAATTCCAACCCAATAGATGCAAAAAGACACTTTGTACCCAACATTCACTCTGGATTTAAAAAATTATAAACTGGAGGGGCACCTGGGTGGCTCAGTTGGTCGGGTAGCTGACTTCGGCTCAGGTCATGATCCTGCCTTGAGTTCACGCCCCGCGTCAGGCTCTGTGCTGACAGCTCGGAGCCTGGAGCCTGCTTCGGATTCTGTCTCCCTTTCTCTCTGCCCCTTCCCCACTCATGCCCTGTCTCGCTCTGTCTCTCAAAAATAAATGTTAAAAAAAGTTATAAAGTGGAAATAAAAGGATGATGCCTTACGATACTTTCTGAAAATACATGTATATTGAAGCTTTCACCAAATCCCATTTACTGGTGAAAATACTAGCCTCGTTCCTACCACCCTGACACCAGGTATTTTGAATGCCCATTGGGATACTTGCTATGATCATTGGTATTTAACATCACACTGGACATTTTAGCCCAGGCATGAATACAAGCAAAAAATGCAAGATATAATTAAATGGAAGAGTTGCATTTAGAAGTAACACTTTTATCAGTAATATAGTCGCAAACATAGAACACTCAGAGAATCTACTGAAAAAAAAGAATTCATAAAACATTTGATTCAAAACAACAAATAAATCCTTTTTTATATAAAAAACGGCCTCCAAAATTACATTGAATGAAGACCTCATTCACAATAATAACAAAAATACATAATCACTAGAAATAACATTAAGAAGAAATATGTAGGTCTTAATGAGGAAAAGTGTAAAGCTTTCCTCAAAGACACAGACTTGCAGAAACTGAGAGATATCCTATCATTGGAAGGAGACTCGATATTACAACAATTTCAATTTTCCTGCATCAGATTATAGGTTTTAACATGATTCCCACTCAGTGAATATGAAATTTTATTGTGTTGTTTTGCCTCATGGTTTGTCTTTGTGGTTGTGCTTTGACAAAGGGATTTTATTTATTCTTTTTTTTAATTTTTTAATGTTTATTTATTTTAGAGAGAGACGGAGACAGAATGCGAGTGGGTTAGGGGCAGAGAGAGAGAGAGACACAGAATCCGAAGCAAGATCCAGGCTCTGAGCTATCAGCACAGAGCTTGATGCAGGGCTCGAACTCATGAGAGCCGTGAGATCACGACCTGAGCCAAAGTCAGAAACTCAACCAACTGAGCCACCCAGGCACGCCTGACAAAGGGATTTTAAAGTTTAAATACCAAGAATAAGGAGAGGCGTGAGCTCTTTTTTCATGCATGTGTATTGCAACACTACTTTGGAAAGTGTAGCACTGACTCCAGAAAAAAGAAAAAACAGCTGATGGAAAATGAGAAAAAGCCCAAAAGAGATCCTCAAAATATATAAAACTTCAGTGTTTGTGAAATGTGGTATTGTTTCAGACCAGCTAAGTCCTGGTCCTGGTATAGCCCGTCTACTAGGAAGGGGGGGTTGTAAGCCACGAATAGAGACCACAAAGGAAGATCCGGTCAACAAAGTTATTGTAAACAACTTCCACAAAAGACCAAACACTCTTTTTCAGGGAAGACAGAAAAGGAACAAAGAAGTCAACCACAAGATCCTACGTGTTGGCTGTGAAACCACTGTAAATCACCAGAGATTATCATTAACAGACACATAAAGGAATACAAACTAGTGCTATAATTTGAGTATTTAAAAATAATACACACTCACTGTAGGAAACATGGAAAATGCAGGAAAGTACAAAAAAAATTAAAATCATGCTTAATTCCACAACTCAGTGGTCAGCACCATCAAGACTTTAGGGAACTTCTGTCTTTCCTAGGCACACAGATTAACTTACATAGCTTTCATAATTTTTTATTTAAAACTGCAAATATTTTCCATACCATCAGAAAACCTTTGGAAGTATTATTTTCCACAATATTCCTCCATGTTTATAAAGTAATCTACCAGAAGATCCCTCTGATATTGAGATTCCCAGCTCTTTAGGTTTCTGTCAATTCTTGATATCGTCAGAAATATTTTAATCATCTGTTTGTCTAAATATTAAATTCCGAGTGAGATATTTGTAAGTACAGTATGAACAGTTTTCACATGCTTGATATATACTTTGCAATGGTTTTCCAGAAAGGGCACCGATCTGTTCTTTCTCCAGCAATGTATAAGGATCTCACACTTCTGTATGTGTTGGAGACTATAAACATCTTTGAAATTAACCAATAATAGAGTTTTAAAATTTTTTTCTGGGTGAAGCCATCTGGCCCAGAGCAATTTTGGAGCTTTTTACTTCCCTTTAAGCTCGTTCATCGATAATTCATCTAGTCAGATTTTCTAGTTCTTCTTGTTGAAAGGGGTTTTGAAAATTATAGTTTTACAGAAAAATATAAATTCCCATGAGATTTTCAATTTTTTTGGCATACAATTATGTTACATCCACACAATTTTTCTCAATATTTGTTATCATGTTCGAATTCTCGGTTTTATTTATTCCTTAAATTAAATTGTTAAAATGATTTCGGGGAATAAAGAATATTTCTATTCTTCCTCTTTTTTCTTTTCTAATTTAGTTCCGATCAAATATTTTTTTTTCTTCCTGCTCCTCTTAAGTTTTGTTAGAGTGTCATTTTTCAAACCCATTAATTTGAGCACGATGGTGGTTAAAAGGCCGTGAACCATGTTTCTGCCACTTACTAGCCATGTAAAAAAAAGAAAATTTCTTACTTTCTCTATGCCTTAATCTTCTCATCTATAATGAGAAGGTAACAGTAGCACTTAACTCCTTGTTGAGTTAGTTTCATTGTTGTGAAGATTATTATTAATATCATTGAATTATTTTCTTTATTTTTGCTAATAAAGGTATAGGACTATGCATTTCACTCTGAGGGCAGCTTTGGCCATATATTGTTAGTCCTTGCATATAATATTTTCATTTCCACTGCTTTCTAAGTGACTTGCAATTATATTTTTTGAAAGCTCATTTTTGACCCAATAGTTATTTAGCAAGGGGTTGCTAGTTTGTTTCTTGCTTCCCAAGTGATTGGAACTCTCTGTTTAATCTTTAGATACTCACGTCACATTTTACTTGTTGATAGAGGATGGGCCTCATAAACTGCCATGAGGGAAATACTGAAGTCTTTTGTGGTCATTGCTCCAATCCAGGGGGATTGGTAGTTGGTACATAAAGTACCTACTTTCTGGGGTTGCTCTTGTGATTTTATGAATTCATATATAAAATATATCCACCACGACAGTGGTGATTCTCCAACACGAAGCTGATGCCCAGGACAAACATGGCTGAGAGACAAACAATGCGATCTTTCCCACACAGCCTGCCCACTGTCCTCAGAATTCTACCAGGCGGCACTCATCCTGAAGTTGGCATTTGATGTGAGATGATTTTGCCTTCCCTGGCTGCGTGTCCGGCAATAACAAATAAAAGCTACCATTGACTTTGCACAATTATTCCGTCCCATACAAGGTTATTATTATAAAATAATACAAGGTTATCATTATAAAAATTCAAAGAGAACTCGCTCAAGACTATGTAGCTAGAAAAAGTCTACTCTGTGTGCAAAGCCTATCCTCCAGCCACCCCACCAGGCTGCCTCCTGGAAGATTCTCCGGAATGGCTCCTCGCTTTCCTCGGTCCCTTCTACACCTCAAAAATACAGATATAATATCATTTAAAGAAAAATAAAAACAACCAGAGTAATTCTAAAACTCCGCCTAAACTTCTAAGGAGCCCCAAGTGGGAGAAGGTAGAGATTAAATTGGGATTTCTGAACATCTGGCCCAAAGCTTCTAGACAGACATCACCTATTATTGCTTGAGGAGGTTTTCAACTCACTAGAAATGCTGTTTTCAAAATTCCATGCTTGATACAAAACCTCATAGGTCTACCTTGTATTTAGAACGTGAAATGTGTATTGATTACTCTCTAAATATGCTCTCAGGAAACTCTGAGGGGAGAACTATTCACAGGCCTCTTAATCCCAAATTAACCAGGGTTCACAGCATTGATTTCAATTCCTGTGAACGTAGCCAAGCAATAAGGGTATGGTGGCCAGAGCTTAAGTCCTCCTGGGACAGACTCAGGTCACAGCTATAAAGAATAAAGAGCCTGACTTTAACACGATATTGCCAGGCAGAAATTTTAATGAACAAAACGCATCCATTGGTAACTCCTTCTCAGGAATTCCTTGATCGTGTCCTCTTTGTTTTTAATTGTCGGTCCCAAGGGTGCTCCTTATAAGGCCGACCTCCCCGTAAGCTAGCTCCATCACAGAGCCCCAGTGGGCAGGCCAGAGCCCCAGGCCACAGTCTTTCTCCTGTGTGACCTCCCAGACCTCCTCCTGTTCCATACCTCAGCGTCGCAATTCCTGAGGAGGGTGTCCCTGTTGGAGACCATGCCCCAAGCCGCTATGCCAATGGCTACGATGTTCTCCTCTGAATTCCTGCTGATGGTGTTGTCTCTCACCACCTCCCCGATGTACTTCATCAGGCCATAATGGGTGCCTCCAGTGAGAATCCAAGCACCTGTCAAGGAGGGAAGAGAGCAGATAAATGCTCAGCTGGCTCTGAGTATCTTTCTTGTCCTGTGGCCACACACCCCCCCCCCCAAAGAAGCCTCCACCCTGCGAGCACCAGGGCCCAGCACTGCCAGCCACACCTTATAATGGGCCTTGCCAAGGGCCGACCGTATGGAGAAGAAGGAAAAGAGGGTCTCAGGAGGCGTTTCTAGAAGATGCTGCTTTTAAAAAGACACAGATTCTGGGAACCGCTCTGGATCTAAAGCATCAGAGTCTCCGGGGGGGAATGCGAGGGGCCGAGGGAATCTGCATCCTTAACCAGCTTCTCAGGTAAATCTTATTATGGATAATAAATGCCGGGCCTGAGCCTGCGAGCAGGTGAGGCAATGGCGCCATGGGAAGCAGAGTTCTCTTCTCTCGGACTCCTACCCCAGTGCTATGAGCCTCGGGCCGACCATCGAGCTTTACTTCGTGATTATACAACTTTGCACACTGGTATTTTACGGTTTATATTTGGTGATCTTCACAGCGTCAAGGGCTTTGCACATTCGTCCTGCTTTGGTTTTTTAAGAAATGCAGAAAATACTTATAAAATATTATTTGGCACAATGATCGAACCTAAAGTCGGAGGTGACCCCGGTCTAACGTGCTAGCCATGAAGGAATCCAGCCTGAGGATGGGCACTGGCATCTCTTGATTAGCTCTGGTGATGGAAGGCTCACTCTGCCCCCAGTTGTTAGAAGGTCCCTTTGTTCACTATTTGTCTCCATTCTCTCTCTTTTTTAATGTTTATTTTTATTTTTGAGAGAGAGCGACAGAGACAGAACATGAGCGGGGGAGGGGCAGAGAGAGAGGGAGACAGAATCTGAAGCAGGCTCCATCCAGGCTCTGAGCTGTCCACACAGAGCCTGACACGGGGGTCGAACTCACGAACCGCGAGATCATGAACTGAGCCAGATTCGGACGCTTCACCCACTGAGCCACCCAGGCGTCCCCTGTCTCCGTTCTCTAATTGTACTACTGTCTTTAGCGATAAGGAACGAGTTTAGTCACCTTTCACATAAAAGTTCTTCCTATATTTTTAGGTAAATGCAGCATGGTCCTTAGGACTGTCATACCTGATTCCTGCAGCCATTCTCAGAGGATGTGAACTCCAGACCCTCGGCACCCAATCTCCTTCCTCCAGACAGATTTTCATCATCAACCTCCCCCTTTCAACCCAGGCAATGGCAAGTGAAGTGGCCTCCACGCGGCCAACACAGAGGACGAGACTGTCCACGTGCAGCCCGGGCCCCCCACCCCTTCACCTCCCTGGATGTTCTCAGGCCAGAGACTTTTGTCCATTTCGGTGCTGTAGTCCCAGCACCTACAACAATTCCTGACACACAGTAGGCGCTCAATAAGTATTCTGAATGAATGACGTGTGTTCAGGACTTAGTAGCAAGGAAAGTGACCTGCTCCGTTTCGTACCAGAGTAAGCACCTACTGTAGCTCCCCCTGGTGGGTCAGGAAATTGAGAACAAATGAGGACAACGGCCCAGTTTCTTCTTGATGTTGAAAGAAAAACTCTTACCTAAAATAAGACGTGTGGGGGTGCCTGGGTGGCTCAGTGGGTTAAGCATCCCACTCTTGGCTTTGGCTCACGTCATGATCTCCTGGTTTGTGTGTTTGAGCCCCACATTGGGCTCTGCACGGACACATGGAGCCTGCTTGGGATTCTCTCTCTCTCTCTCTCTCTCTCTCTCTCTCTCTCTGCCCCTCCCCTGCTCTTTCTCTCTCTCTGCCCCTCCCCCGGTCATTCTCTCTGTCTCTCTCTCTCTCTCTCTCTCTCTCAAAATAAATAAACTTTTAAAAATAAAATAAAAGAAGGCATGTGTCCTTAGCTCTCCCAGTTAACTAATTTTTTTTTAATATAGTTTATTGTCAAGTTGGCTGACATACAGCGTATACAGTGTGCTCCTGGTTTGGGGGGTAGATTCCCATGATTCATGGCTTTACCTGCAACACCCAGTGCTCACCCCAGCAAGTGCCCCCCTCAATGCCCATCCCCCATTTTCCCCTCTGCCCCACTCCCCCATCAACCCTCGGTTTTAATAAAGAAGTTCCTAAAATATTAGGCTTCGATAAACTGAACCTAATCATGAGGAAGCATCAAATTGAATGACGGAACAGTCTGTAAAAACAATGTGTCTGTGTTCTTCAAAACGTCCTGAAAGACCAAGAAACTCAAGATAACAATTCCAGATGAACAAAAGCCTATCGGTTTGCTTTGACATGAAAAGCTAAATTCAACGGAGTCCACTGAGGGGGAAAAAAGGTGTTTTCGGTTTTTTTCTCAAAAGGATAATATTGGAATAATTAATTAAAATAAGGACTGTTTTTTAGATAACAGTATTGGGCAGCTAGCTTCCTCAGGTTTGAAAATTGTACTGGGTTATGGGAGAGAACACCCTTGTTCTTGAGAGATTCGTGCTGACATACTTAGGGGCTAAAGGTCGTGATGCCTGCAATGTACTTGCAAATGATTCTTTAAAAATAATATGGGACTGTTTTTTGGGGGTTTTTTTTTAATGCTTATTCTTGAGAGAAAGAGTGAGACAGAGCACTAGCAGGGGAGGAGCAGAGAGGGAGACGCAGAATCCAAAGCAGGCTTCGGACTCTAAGCTGTCAGCACAGAGCCCGACGCGGGGCTCGAACCCACGAACAGTGAGATCATGACCTGAGCCGAAGTCGGAAGCTTAACCGACCGAGCCACCCAGGTGCCCCTTATGTGACTGTTTTTGAAAAACCATATGAAAAATGTGAGAAAATGTTACCAAGTGGTCATTCTAAGGGAAGGATGTACACACATTCATTATGTTATTCTTACAACTCTTCTGTAGGTTTGAAATTTTTCATAATAAAAAGTGAAAAAGAAAGGAGGTACTAAAGCCACATATTTCACATAACAAAGCCACAGCTATTTGTCCTGGTCTCAATTAAACACTTACCTGGCGCCAACCACCTGCCAGGCCTTAACCACTAGTCCCAAAAGCGCATCACTGGTCTCAAAATTAAAGAGCAAAGAAATCAAACTTTCCTGTTTGACGCGCCAGAGTGTTCTGGGTAAAATTTTCCATGCAGAAACAACACAATGAAAACCTTAGCTGATTCAAGGAAACAAAAGCACCCACAGGGAAGCCCCTCGGCGCTGTTTGCTTTGGGACCTCCGCCCCCCACCACCTGCCAGAGCCCCCTGTCTGCCCACTCATTTGAGGACCTTGTTTTTAAATAGATCGCGATTAAACCGTGTGCTTCTAGAGCCTCTAGGTTCTGCGCATGAACTACATTGGGGGATTTCGTTCGGTCGCCCAGCCCAGGGCGGAACCCCAGGACACGCTGTCCCCGTCCCCGCGCGGGGACCCCGCACCTTTCGACTGCGCGATGTAGATGAGGCGGCTGAAGATCTTGCGCATGCGCGGCTTCAAGGCGAAGTTCTTGGCCCCTCCGGTCACGGAAATGACAAGGTTGGGCGTTTTCAGGTGCCAGTGCTGGGTCAGCAGCTCATAGAGGGTCTCCGCGTCCGTGTCACAGGACAACCGGATATACTGCGGGGAAGGGGGAAGGCGGCAGGGTCAGCGCACCTGTCGCCACAGCCACCTGCTCCTGTGGGGAGGGGCGAGGCAGCTAAGGGGGCCCCGCGCGGAAGTGTAAGAAAAGCACT